CTTCAGGCATCCCTTCCCAGACTTCACCATCCTCTTCCAAAGAGCTGGTGCCATCCTGGCCCTGCAACACAAACCAAAAGCAACTGCCTCTTTCATTCCCAACAAAAACCCTCCAGATGGTTTTGGACTGCAGCTCCACTCAGCCCCAACTTTTGGCCATGTCTGTCCTCAAGCCTCATCCATGGTCTTTCCAAGCCTTGGTCTCTCTGAAATGGAAGTTCCAAGGATTTTTGAATGTGTCACACCAGTAAGTTACACCCCATGATAGTGGAGGTTTCCTCACTTGCCCCCGAAATGTTCTCCCTAGCATGGTTCTGCTAGGAAAGTTTAATAGGCCTTTCAAAGCCAGGTAGCGTAGGCAGAGCGATTCTCCATGAAATCCTTTAGGGCTTTTTTCCCATTGCTCTTTGGTAACTGTTATTATAGGAATCAGACAAGTAGACTGGTGAAATATGCACCTTTTTAAACAAATGAATGTGGTGTTTGGATTGAGTAAAACTGCCATGGCACTTTAAAGGCACTGGAGAGCTGTGATTCAGTGTAAAAGAGAGAATGATTTGGAAACCTAAGGCCAATAATATTCCGTTTCAATCAAACCTGAGTCAAAAATCCAGAGAGAATATGTAGCATGTTTTTTTCTTATAATGATACGAACAACATGAGTTCCGACAATTGAGTGTTTGAATATTCCCCCATAAAATTGCATGTTCGAATGTTCCTGATACTTGCGATCTATTTCAGTTTCCAAACCATATAAACTTGTCAAAACACAAGTTCGTTCTGTACCATGCCTATGCCACTTTGCTGTTTTACTTCAAGATCCACAGTCATAAACATGTTTGTATGCGTTTTAGGTATAAATTATGAAAATTACATGCCAAAAAGCAGCTGTTAATTTGTGAATCTATTCATTTTCAATGCATTTAACCTAATGAGAAATGCCTAGTAAAATATTATATATTGAGAAAAACAGACCTTATTTTGTGTCCTTTAGTTGACCTTATAAAGGTATTATCCTAATATTTATTTATTACATTTATACCCACTTTTTTCTTGAAGGAATCAAGGAAGCTTATATAACCCTCTCTTCTTATCCTCACAACCATCCTGTGAAGTAGGTCAGGGTAACAATCTCTGACTGGATCAAGGCCACCCTGTGCCCTCAGGGCTGAGGATTTTGGAAATGTTCTTATGGTCAACATGTCCTCCTTTGTTTTTGTACATTAATGTATTTTGTGCATTTTAATGTACTCATGTTTGTACCTGTTTTATTGTTAGAAAACTGCATCACAAAAATTTGCAGATGTGAGAACACAGAAGCAAATTATGTTCCAGTTGGCACATTATAGTTTGGGGCATTCAATTAAGTCAGTTTGTGTTAAAATATGAATTTAATTCATTTTTCCCCATCCATACTCTATGGGCTAGTGAAGAGCTAATGGTCATTTGGAAAACACAGTACATCAAAGAAAAGAGTTGGTTTCTTCCATACAAGGGATGGAAGACCAAACAAGGACTGAGCTCAGCAGAGGTTCTCTGATGGTCACCCTGAAGTTCATTCCAACACTTCTCTATTTGATTGTAACCTTTAGTGAGTGTGGGTTTGTATTTGTGTGCGCATTTTTCAAAATGTATGCAGTATACATTTTAAAAATGCATTCATTCCTCTCCCATTTTTCCAAAGTATGTGCATGTTTTCAAATGCACTTTCTCTTGTGTAAATTTGCATCACAAGTATGGAACTGCATGGACTTCATGCTGCAGACTGCATTCACGACTGCCTTCATTTCCAGAAGATGCAAACTGGATTAATTCTGATTAAAAACAAGCAGAAATGTATTTCTCACTGATCTCATTCTCACACCTTCCACCTTTCTATGTGCAGTAAGGCGTATGGGGGTTCACCACATAGTAGAGTATTCACACATGCAGTGCTGCAAAACTGTATTCCGAAACTATATTGTCCCCAGAGGAGTGTACTATGTGGTTTGCATTTGTTCCTCCTAGGGCCAGACCTTGCCCTAAGGCAGGCTGAAAAAGCCTGTTTCAAGCAGCACCATGAAAGGGGAACAGGCAAAGCAGGAACCAGCATTTGAATGAGGCAGTGTTGACTCTCATTGTTGAAGAGGAAGCACCATTTGGATTCCACTTCAGGCAACTGAGTGTCTTGAGACAACACTGGCTCCTCATCCATAACACTTTGCATTACAGAGGTTCAAGAAGCGGTTTCAGCCTGAGGGCAGAAATCTATTTTGAAGAAGCTTTTGGTGGAATATACTCATATTCCAATGATGGGTAGGCTGAAAGGCAATGGTGACAGAAACAAAAATACATCAAATAGTAGGATAGTTTAGCTTAAAAATTTTGCACCCCTCCTGTAGTACATCTGTTTTTGATCTGAGTTCAAAAAAGGTATACTACAGGAGTTAGCTAGTTAGTTTGTTTGTTAATGTATTATACTGAGCAGCAGTGTATTCATGCAAATTTAAAGGATGCCTTTACAGGTGTGTAAAGAAACTAAGCATTCCGAAGGAATTATAGCTCCACTAATATAGAAAAATTACACTTTCTTTTTCAGAGAAATTCTGAAATTATAGCCCTCTTTACAGGAATGTTTTCCCCCTGCCACTTTTAATTAAAAGGAAAAGCTGTTTATTAACATTTTCAGCCCCAAAGAATAACAGCCACAGAGAGAATGTCATTTGTTTAAATGGGAGAAGGAATGCATGGAGCATCTATACAGTTACAAGTTCTATTTGCCATTACCCCGAATTCCTTAAAGCTGCCATAAGGTTGCTCTGCCCTGGGGATAGATGTGTGGGTTGCTGCTTGCTTCAGGTCATATTTCCCTTAAATGGAAAGCAGGTTTGGCAGCTGTTCAGTTGCACTAGCTTAAAAAAAGCCCTTGCCCATGCCTTGTGCTGCTTTGCCCTAAGGATAATTCACTCCGTGCTGTGGGTGACAAATGCCCTCAGAAGACGCATCTTTCCAACCACTGGATGTAAAATCATTAGGAAAAATAATCAGCCAGAGCTGTTAAATACCCAGGTACCTCTTCAGCATTTGTTTCAAGGCGAAATTAAATCATTTCTGACATCTGCTGGAAAGAAGTCACACTGCTTTGGAGCTGATAAAATGGGGGTGGAGGGAAGCATCTTGACTTCCAGGAGGGTTATTTTATTATTTTATTATTATTTATTTTTAGTACTGTGAATCCAAGTTCATTAATAAAGTACAATACATATTCTAGACCAACCCACTGAGATGGAATACTTGTAGCACAATATTCAGTTTTATTTTACTGAAGGATCTAGGAAATGCGCAAAACAAAAATGGCAAGAAAGATGAATGGGATGTTTCATATTTTTCACATCAGTGCGGGTTTTCCAAACTTCTGGGGTACCAGAGTGACCCTGATTGAACTTGTTACCCCAAATATTCATATGACAACAATATAAGTTGCATAATCCATACTGAAATCAGGGTTTGCGTCTAAGCAAACATACTTGGGATCCAATGTCCAGCTGACATGTAAGACATCAAACTAGATTCAGTTCAAACTTCATGGGGCCTGGTCAGATTTGACATTGCATAGTTTTTTTAACCCTACAATGATGGTATGTAATGAAGTACCCTCGTATCTGACATAGAGTGAATCTGGAGAACTCAGAAGCCCAGTCTTTTTGGTGGCCATGTGTCCTACTTTACAGGGGAGAGTCTTCAGTCTGAAGAACCTTCAGAAGATGTCATTTGTTTGAAGGTGTTCTGTATTTAAAGGGCTTTGCACTCTAAGTCTGATCTAAAGATAAAGAAGCCTGAGAGGGGGAGAAGAGCAGAGTTCTTGAAGTTGCCCACCTATAGTTAGCACCTGGGCATCAGACTGAACAGGTCACTGATCTCTGTCTTCTCTGCCAGTAATGGGATGTAGTGCATTTCTTTCTCATGCAATAATATATAATAGTGGTATAAGTGATAATTTCCAGAATATGCATCCCTACATATAAATCAGCCCATGCACATTCTGTACAAACTCAAGTCCAATTTTGCTCTCTTTTTCAGTTCCGCTTTACCTTTCATTTGGCAATGTGTACATCCCCACCCCTGCTTGGTGCCACTTGACCTGTCAGGCTTAAAACCAATGAATCCTAGCAATTATAAAGTGGTGAGGTGCTCAGAATTCTCTGTTAGCATTCACTGGGTCCTGTGCACAGGTGCAAACACACACATGTGCAGAACATCCAGCTGTCCAGGTTTCTGGGAGCAGGAATTACAGTTAGACTGTAGAGTAGGATTTATTCATTCATTCATTCATTCATTTAAAGTTTTTCTATGTCCTCCCATTACTAAATGTTTCCAGACAGTTTACAAAGAACAAAAAACCAAAGAACAAAGAAACCATAACAACAACTGCACACAACACACTGCATCCGATAAATAATGACAAAAACGAGGATAAAAACGAGGATAATACTGGGAAAATAAAAAGGTATTTGCCTGACACCAAAAAGAATAGAGCAAGGGAGCCAGGTAAACATCCCTGGGGAGCGTGTTTCACAGTTGGGGCACTACCACTGAGAAGGCCCTTCTCTGAGTAGCTACCCTCCTGTTTTCCTTCAAAGAGGGCTCCCAGACAAGGACCTCTGCCTCCAATCTCCAAAGGATAAATCCTTCATAGGAATGGGATATCACACACCAATCTTAATTTTATGTAACTTTGTTGAAGTGAACATGCGCCTTAGAGCATGAAATGCTAGAAGTTTTGTAGCTATCGCTTTCAGTCTAATTCCAGACAATGTTGCCCAGATGTCACTGTATTTATGCATAAACACAATTTGAAACTGTTCTGGATGGTGGTGGTAGCAAGTAGGTGAAAACAGTGACAGGAGCGCAGCTTCTGGTTATGTAAGTTGTTTCTTGCAAACAGTTGAACTTCAGTTGGAGCAAAATGAACCTGAAATGAATCACCACTTGTGATAACACCTTGCCTTTTCTTCCATTAGGTGCAAGTGTAACCTTCACGCCACTGGCTGCAGAGAAGAAAACAAAAAATTGTTATGCGAATGTGAGCACAATACAACTGGGCCAGACTGTGGGAAGTGCAAGAAGAACTATCAGGGACGGCCCTGGAGTGCAGGCTCCTATCTCCCTATTCCCAAGGGCACCGCAAATATCTGTGAGTACTCGTGAACAGCAGCACAGCCGTGGTAATGAATATGTTTGGCCCAACAGGTGCAAAAATGGCCCTAATGAAGCCAGTGACTGAACCTCAGACCAAAGCGAAGATGCTTTCATTTGCTGGAATATTAGAACTCTTACAGGTATTGCAGTCCCATGCTTGTTCTTGCCCAAGTAAATCCCAGTGGGGTTTCCTCGTTGTTAAGTCTGCACACCAGTGCCGTAAAAAGTACCACGCAAGGATGCCAATGAAATCAATATAAAAATGGTGGCACACGGTCCTGTGTAGCACTTTACCAAATGTGCCGTCATGAGTCTGTTCACATCTACCCAGTAGTAAGTTCCACTGAGTACAATGGGGCTTTCTTCCAAGTAAGTATGCTTAGGATTCCAGCCTTATACAGCTTATTCCCTTCTTGCCGTATATGTATGCATTGCAGCGTGTCCTAGAGTGGAAGTGGCTCATTCTTTTGGCAATCTCTTTCATGAGAGCTTGGCCATTTGAAAATGCTCTTGTTCCTCTCCTGTTCATGGCATGTAATTGGCAACCATAAAGGGAAAGGGAAGGTTATATATGATAAGCCTGAGAAGTGCTGTATAAACTATTTCATTTATATCCCATTCTTCCCTCAAAGAGCTCAAGGCAGCATATCAGGTTCTCCCACCCAAACTGTCTTCAGGGCGGTTTTATGAAATAGGTTAGGGTGAGCCAGGGTAACTTCTCCAAGGTTATGGGAGCTTCCTGGCTGAGTAAGGATTTGAACCTGGATCTCGCCAGTCCTAATTCAAGGGCAGTAGCATATACAGAGTAGCAGGCACAGACACCTTCCAATAAAGTGCAGAAAGAGAGTTTCCTTTCCTGTCTAGTTTGGATGATGTCGTACAATCCAGCAATCCTGTAAGTGCAAGAGCCAGGTGTGCAGCTGTCAAGGTCTGGCAAATAATGTCTTGTGCAAGTCGCCACTTATATAATCCCTGGAAGAGCCATTTGTGTAAGAACTTTCCTGAAACAAAAAGGGGTGATTCTGCTAAAGCGTGCATTTGCAGGATTGCATTATGCCATTGGAATGATGACACCGTAGAGCAGTGATGGGGAACCTTATAGTGACCAAGTGCCCAAACTGCGACACAAAACCCACTTATGTGTCGCAAAGTGCCAACACTGCAATACAACCGGAAGACTGAGGTTTTAGTTTAAAAAAACAACTCACAGCCAGTCCAAGCAAATATGTATATATCCTTGGCAGCACACTGACCAGCCATGCGAAAGCTCGGACGAGTAGCGGCTAATGAGTCATGGCTCATGATGACATCGTCTGTCATCGCTACTCCTTTCCGAGCATGCGCATGGCCTCTATGTGTGCTGTTATCCGATGCTGGGCTGCAGGGGTGATGCTGAGGTGACTTGGCTCGCGTGCCGACAGAGAGGACTCTGCTTGCCCGCTGTGGCACGTGTGCCATAGGTTCGCCACCACTGCCGTAGAGGCAGATTGTTCTCGTGCATAATTCTTTGGGGACTTCACCAGCTCCTTGTTTGCTTTAAGGAAATGTTTAAGCTTAACAATTGTAACCCGACACAGGATTAAGTACGCATGGCCCCACTCTTTTCCTGTGGCTTAAGTCCACTTTGCTCTCTGCAGGATTTTCGCCTATATTAGATGAGAAATCAGATAAAAGCATTGCATTGCCAGGGAAACTAGTTGTTTCATTTATATCTCTGCCTTTAGATATTTCCTAAGGTGATAGCAGAACTGTCAAGGCATTCCGTTTCTGGTTTACACTCAGCAGGTCAGCAGATAAGGCAAGAAGCACTGCAGGTCTACCTTACGCCTTGGTTACTTTTGTCATCTGTACCTTGTGAGAAGTGACTGTCTGAAGAAGAAAGCCTCCTATATCCATGCAGACTCTCAGCACAAGCCAGAATGGTGATTTTCCAGCATTTTGGCCCACAACAACCTCTATGGGTGGGATAGTGTCACCTTCTGAGACAAGCATCCTCCACAACTTGAAGCTGACAGAACAAATAAAGCGGTAGAACTAGAGTCTTTTCTGTCCTCACACGTTTATAACCAGAAACAGAATACTTGAAAGGGGCTGGCATAACATCCCTGTCCTTAAAACAGAACTTTGCATAGTTGTGATTGCTTCAGTTATCTTGTGCATCTGATCCACTGTGAGATCTTAACCCAGACTTTCATGTGGATGGCATCCAGAAAGTCTGCCTGTTCTCAGGAGTTTGGCACCCATCCATGGATCAAAACAAATGCTTAGCCACATCAACTAGTGATCAGGTATTGAAAAAGAACAAGCATGATGCAACCACAGTTAAGTACTGTGAACCAAATGATTCAAATATGTGAGAAGAAGCTGGAACTTTCTTTGATTTAAATGAATAGGTTTTATACGTGCTTAATTTTTGAGCTGGATCATTTCCTATACATTTATCCCTCTTGCTAATAAGTGTTGAAAAAAGCACAGTAAAAGCAGAATGCTGGGGGCAGGATACTATACAAAGGAAAGAAAAGGGCATGGAAAGCAAGAAATACACAAAAATGTTCTGCCATGGATGTGCATGAGCTATGCTAATATGACTTGTATACCTAAATCCCTCAGAGGGTAGAAAAAGGAACAAGCAGAGAATAAGCTATCAAACATATCTGGAGTAAGAGTTATTAGTTGGTCTTTCTAAAAAGTCTAGAGTTCCACCTTGTATAGAAGGTAAAAAGCTAGCTTTGGAAATAACCATTCATGGAAAAGTTGTTTTGAAGAAGCAGGGCTATGCACCAGAGCTGAATGATTTTTTTTTTTTTTTTAAGCACACACAACCAGCCGCAATGTGCCATGTTCCAAATGTTATCTTGCACTTCAAAGCAGCAGCTGTGAGGAATCAAACCTCCAAACTGAATATCACAGGAAACAGGACCTTATCAAGTTTAATGCGGGAGTAATAGACAAAGTAACAATCCATGAAGTGTGGGGGGCATGAAATTATGATAAAATTCCTACCAGGCAGTGAAAAAGTGAACCTTCAAAAAGAAGAGGAAAACATTCTGTAAGAGCATTAACTTTTAGAAAAACGGACACTTTGGATCACAGAGTTATACCTTAAAGCAATGATACATTTTGAATTCACAGGATTTTTTCTCTCTCTCGCCAAGAATTCACAGCCTTGAAAAGCTTCTAAACTCACACAGTGTGAGTGCTGATCCATAGACAGTCATAGTTACTACATCCAGCTCTGCTCTATGTCTCAATTATTCCTTGAATTAAAGATGAATATCCTACATTTTCCCTTTATGCAACTCTCCAGGTTTTTCTTATTGATGCAGTCATTTTTATTCAAATTCCACAAATCAACATTGGTCTTTTCAAATACGACCCAGCCAAAACAAATGCCATGTCTTGCATATGCCAAGACTATATGCACAGTATATTTACTGAACACAGATTCATCAACACAGAAGTTCAGTGCTCAAATAATAGGAGGATCTTGACTGGACAACCTTCCTTAGAGCAACAAAAGAAAAGATTTTCTTCCAAGGACACTGAACTTCTTTTTCATAGTGACTTGATTGAGACTCAGCATAGTCAAAATAAAATTCTACCCTTGTTCCATAGCAGTATTTGGAAATACAGCTGTCTGTTCTGCACTCTTCATGAAGAACTGTGAATAATTTGTGTTTTAATTCTTTGTTAAAGAAATTGTCCTGAGACTATAATAGTCAGACAGTATACAGAAAATTTAAATAAATGAATAAATTTGTTATATATTAAGTGAATATATTGTGTATGTGCAATGTCCCTTCTGTTCACATATCCTCAACCTTTGACTGTCATAGAGAAACCAGATTCAATTACCCAATGCAAAATAGACCTCACCTAGCTCACCCGCTATGCCACCCCCAAATAGTGATACCATCCAACTTTTCCAGAAGTGATCCACAAAATTTCTCAGCATGGGGTGGTGAGTTTTGTTTGCTTGCTTGTTTTTTCACATTTGCATCAGTTTCAATTAGAGTGACATTCAAGAGGAAATCCAGAAAGTCTGTAAAAAAAAATCAAGGAGGAATATAGAAACTGTGGTATAACAGAAGGTTGCTCTGGAGCAGGCACAGGCAATGATGTTCGCCTTCATCATTGTAACCAACTACCTGGAGGGCCACAAGTTGTCAATACCTATTCGAGCGCAAGTATATTCAGATTCTCATCAATTCCACATGCTGATAATGTCATGGTCATGCAGAATAACCAGCCCTAGTGGAAACAAGCATGATTTTGTCTTTGTTTGTTTCATATTATTTTATTTTCTCCTTGCTTATAGTGCAGTATAATCTATTTATTTTATTTACTTATTTAGAGCACTTGTATGCCGTCCCATCGCATAGCCTCGGGACAGCTTACATAAATAAAATAAAACATAATCCAGATAAAATCCAGATAAAATCCAGATCCACCCTGGCTGCATATTAAAACCTATACACTGATATTAAAAGTTATTAAAATATTGTTGAAATAAAAAGGTCTTAGCCTGGCGCCGAAAAACAAATATTGTTTTGTCTAGTTTAGACAGACTAACTGGTAGGGAGGCAACAGTTCTTACCATATCTTAAATTTCTGTGATGGGTTTTCTCCATGAATACAGGTCTAAGGATTTGTTCCAGAAAATAATTGAGTTAGGTCTAAACTTAGTCCTGCTTAAAGTAGGCTCAATAAAAATAATAGGGTTTAAATTATCCATGGCTAATTGAAGTCCCATTTATTTAGAACAAAGTGATCTATCAAGGTATGACTACATCTGGATTCAGTGTAGGTGAGATCTGTATTTGTATATGCTGCATGAACAGCATATATCTCAAAGGGCAGATTCCCTTTCCTCCCATCAGCCCCTTGTACCACCTCAGATCTTCTCCAATAGGTTGGAGAACTCTCCAGAAATAATTCTGAAGGCACATAGGATACTATAGGGGAAAGGAAAAGATGGGATGGTTCCATGGCTCGTTAGAGCCCTATAACTGCAACCTTAAATTAACGGTCTGTAATTATATTTGACTGACCATTTTGGCATCAGTCATCAGCAAGCACACTTTTGCTCTTAAAAAAATAATGTTAATGACAAACTGACTTACGCACCTCCCATTCTCAGAGAGGGTCTTCCTTGCTTGCATTCATTCAATTCTATCTGACCTTGTTCAAAAGTTAATTTCTTCTGGGCAACCCACCAACATACTTCTCTACAGGTGCCAAAATTCTCTTCCTGTAGACAGTGTGATAAGAATCACTCTCCTTACAGAAAATCTCACAAGAATCCAAGCTTTCACAGATAAAGGTATTATGTGTCCACTGGAAATTTGTCAGATAACAGGACTGCAAAGTTTTTTAAAATAATCTGGCAACACACTTTGGTTTCCTTGTTACCTTAACTGTATCAGAGGTGTAGTGGTTTTTTTAGTGTGGTTACTTAGGATCATCCCCAGTGTCATATCCCCAGTGAGAATCCAAAAATTCAAGCAGTTGTGCTGATCTCTGTCAACAAACACATTCAAGCAGTCTTATTTCCACCAGAGTCAAGGTCTCTCATAAATAATTTGCATTATAACAGAGATCTAAATATTTTTAAACATAAAAGAATATTTATTCACTTATTCCAATCCTATATTCACCCATAGCTGATGCTCTCCAGCCATTTGTAACAATTCCTAGAATACAATGAAATACCATGCAAAATGCAAATGCAATGCAATTTTACTAAGACATTTAAAAATGGAATGTAGACAACTTAGGGTACCATCCTGACATCATCTAGACTTCATAAGATTATTCTCTGAGGTCCTGCAGTCCTGAAGTTTCGACTCAAAGGGCCAAGCCTTCTCTTTGCCCCACACACCTGGAATGGAGCGTTCCGCCATCTACCAGCCTCCCAAGGTTGCAGCTGAGAAAGTGGGTGTGGAGGAGAGAAGGCCAGGCCGAGGACTTCTCAGCATCCAGCCTTCTTCCCACCCCCCTTGGCACTGTATTTAGATGACTGGAAAGAGACATTCAAATGAAATACCAGGCACAGATTTAACGTGCTGCAAGGCACAGGGCACTGGGTTGTGTTCTTAACAATTAAAACAAGGTAATTCCAACTAGATCTGTTGTATCTCAGTCTTGTCTGGATTGAACTTAAGTTTGTTAGCCCTCATTCAGTCCGTTGTCAAAGCCAGGCACTGATCTAGTACATCTGTAGCATCTCATGCTGGGTGGTGGTGGTGGTTACAGAATAATGAGAGTGATTATTTTTGTTGTTGAGAAGTTATTGCTGAAATTATTATTATTGAAAAGGAGAATTATTATTATTAGTATTAAACATTTTATAGACTGTTCTATAGCAAATGCTCTCAGAACAGTGTACAGCGTAAAACATAATAGCAATAACGTATCTGTAATAGGTATATTATGTATGGATATATTCCTAAATAGAACTGATGAGAATGCACTCCAAACCTCTGAATGACCCGCTCAGCAGCTTCAAGTAGTTGTTAAATAGCATGGGGGGAAAACTGACCTAGAGGATTCCATGCGGAAGTCCATAGGGTCATGCCATTTTCCCCAAGCACCACTTTCTGGAGCTAGCCCTCCAAGTAGGAGCAAAACCACTGCAGCGCAGTAGCCTCCACTCTCAGCCCAGATGCTACATATACTTTTTAATGCACTGACTTCAGATAAATACTGCAGTACCATAAAAACATCAAATGTAATAATCCAAACACACAAAGAAGTGTTCTCGTATTTGCCTGTATTTCATGTTCATTAGGGCAAAGTGACCAGCTTGTTCTCTATTAGCCTCTCCCTTCTGGTAGGTCTTTTCCAAATGTTGAAAAAGGTTTATCTTGTCCACCAGCTGAGAACGGCAGCTAAATATAAAAGGAGCACGTGCCACCAGTGTCTCTGCTAATAAAAATTATTTGTACGGCATCCCTGTGTAGCTCCACTATACTACACTACACTACACCTCTGAGTGTATGCTGTGATTTATTATTTTTCACTTAGAAAATTGGTAATGTAAATTGTATATTTTAATGAAGAGGAGGAGGATGGGAATGATACTATATATGCACTGTAAGCACCTATGATAGTTAGCCAACTGGCAAAATCATTAATACATTTGTTCATCTTTCTCTCCTGTAGCTGTTAGGGAAAAATACTAGGTAAAATATTCCTTGGTACATGATCTACTTTAGCATCTCTGAGCCAGACCTGTTTTCCTTGGTGCTTTCTTCTTAATGTAGGAATTTCCATCACATGAGAAGCTAAAATACAGAAAATGACATGTCATGTCTTTTTGGGGATGGAACCATTCTTGCATTTTCAGTGCCAACCAAAATCACTTTTTACTGATGCAGCAGACAGAAACACATTTGAATAGAATAAAAATTTAAAAGCAATATCCCACATCATATGTTTGCCTCTGTGCATGAAGGTGGGGAAACGGAGAAGCAATGGACCAAAACTGAATATAAAAGCTAACCTGATTCAAGAACAATGAAATGGTGTATCTCCCATCAGTAAACATTTGGGGCCTACACTGAATAAGAGAAGCTGAGTTTTATATATAAAGTGAAGAGCTTGCTGTTGCTATCACTAAACTATGAAGCTAGAAAATCAAATAGTTATGATACAAATAATGACAGTTGCTGATAAAATGCTTGTGATTTCCACTGATTCCTCACATATTTGGGTGTAAATAACATCCTCAAATGCCTCCAAGTTCTGAAATAGCAATTTGCTGTGGGGGCCCCTAAAATAGCAAAGAATAGCTTTCTTGAGGATAAGCCCTGTTGAGAATAAGGCAATCCTGGGGAATGTTCAATTCAATGAGATCATTAGCTGGCTGTTTTCCTATCACAATATCACCAGGAAGTATAAAGAAATCAGAGATTGCCTAACTGTTCTTAATTGATATGTTTATGTTACACTGTTTAAGACCGAAATGCATCCAGTGCTTTCTAAACTAGGAGGTGTGATATTTGTCGATGACTAGTAGTTTGAAAACATTTGCAAACAATTACGAAGGCTAAAATCTTGTCTTTCACTGAATAACAGCACACCTTTGGGGTATAAGAATGCTATTAAATATCCAGAAGCATCCATGGATAATTATCCAACCTTAATTAAAATTGAGACTATGAAAAAGAATGGGGGAAATGGTTATAGGAAACCCAATCTGTGTGTCCAAGTGTCTGTGTGTGCGTGTGTGTGTGTGTGATGCACACATAAAATAAAATAGATATGCTTTGACTGAACTTCAACTCAGACCCCACTGAGGAGCTTTGGAAAATTGGCTACTTCACCTTGACCAATTTGGAAGCTGTCCACTTCAACTCAGGTACCAAACTCAAGCCAAGATTCAGAAATCTGAGGCTTCGTGCCAGAGGAAGCAGACTGGATCTGTTGGAAACTAACCAATGGGCTTAATTCTCCCAGTTAACTCCTGACAGCTTCATTTTCTCTTGCTTTCGATTGATTTTTAGTGCTGATAGACCTCATGATGAGTTCGGTGAAGCCATGTAAAGTATACTGAATTAGTGCCTCATCAACACTTATGCATACCTAACCAAAATTCTCTCTTTTCTTTGCAGGTATGCCCAGTATTCTCAGCATTGGTAGTAAGTAATAAAGAGCAGACTTAGGCCAGCTTTGCTTGCTGTTCTGGCCCTGAAAGTCTATTTTTCCAACATCTATTTCTGTTTACTCTGAAACATGCTTGGCAGGAACTGGAGAAAGATCCCTAAGCATCATCCTGCTGCTGTTGTACGTCACTGATATCCATGTTTAGAGGGAAGTTTTATTTACCTTATTTGCATCGAATGGCAAATGCAGATTCTATGATCACCAAAGGAGCATGATTGCAATGAAGCAGACCTTAGCCCAACTCAGCTAACATTGTTCAAGTAGAGCAACGTTTGCCTGTTAAAACAGAAAGTAGTCCTACAACTCCCAGCATTCCGCAGCTACTGGCTGGGAAATGCTAGGAGTTGTAGGACTTCTTTTCTTCCTGAACATGTTTAGGATGTTGGCTTTAGAAGATTAAATAAGCAATCTTCGAGAGCTATGCATATCCATATGTATATAACAGAAGAATATGAATTTCTCTTCAGACAACCAAGTCAGATACAGTGTCCATTTACTATAGTCCATCCAAAAGTATCACTGTACTTTTATTGCATTTTCATTATGTTGTTTCAGATCTGTAAACCACCTTAGTATTCCTATACTGTAGGGCAATATGAAAATCTGATACATAAATATATAACTAAATATAATATTCATGCCCTTAATCCACAGATGATACTGAAAGGGCCTTATTTTCCCTTTTATTTTAGCTTTAAAATAAAAAAACATAATTTTAAACAAAACAAGCTTTAACACTGGAATCTAGTTATATCTTAGTCATTTTCAGCATTAAATAAACCATTTTTTGTTCCTATTCTTTACTGTGTACAAACACATAGAAGGTGGAACCTTTCCTTTCAGGGATGACTCTATACCATTTTACAAATATTTGGTGAAAGCCATCTATCTGCCTGGATTTTGAATGAACCAGCCTGGCATGTAAAACCTTTCTTTATTCTTTGAAACTGAGTCTTTAGAACATTTCAATTTAGTTACAGAGATTCTCCTAATCATATAATGCACTTCTGATCGGAACCCTTACTTCTCTTAGGAACAATTCTGTGCAGGCTTTTTTAGATAGGCTTTTTTTTTTCTTTTTTAGTTAGAAAAATGTCCTAAAACACCAGTGGTCCCTGACTTAGACATGATGAGTGGAGAATGATGGAGTTTTAGGACTTTTCTTGTCTAAACATGTGTGGGAATGTTCCCTTTCAGGTGTAGCAATAACTAATCAGGTCCCCACGTTTTCTCTATAATCATTTTGTAATTGTTGCCTGCTGGCATATCTCCATATATAGTTCCAGATATTACTTAGAAATGTAATTTCCCAGCTCTTTCTCCATTTTGAAATGTAACCTAGGACCTTTAATGTACCAACCTGTCATAAAATCTAGTATAACCATAAAAAAGAGAAAGAGAGAGACTTCTTAGATTTTTCAATATTATGTTTGCAATGGAAAAAATCTTCATAATTATTAATATTCTCTCCTTTTATTTTTATTTATTTTTGGTCTTGAAAACCCCCCAGTGAAGTCTGTATTTCCCTTGTTATTTCCAAGCATTGACTGCATAAATTTACATATTCCTAAACAATTTCCCAATATTGAAATAAGTTTTTTTTTAATCCAGCTCATTATTAAAAAATGCCTGTTTTTAAAGATGGCTGTTTTGAAGGATGGCTGTCTTTGTGCCAGGATGCTCCCTCCACTGGTACACGAGGAGCTAGCAGTTCTTACAGCAACTGGGGATGATTGGAAATTCATCTTTCTAGTAAAGGAGGTCATCAGAGCTCATATCTGTCTCAATCTGAAAAGGAGCATTTCAGCTCCTTTCCAGGTTATTTTAGAAAGCATTAATTCTGCTCCTTTCTGGATTACTTTAGAAAGTACTAGTTCCCCATTGCACTAGGGAAAAGTTGTACTAGCACAGCAGAATCAATGGGTACACAGTAGCAGTACTCTCTGCTGCCCAAGACCAGCTCCGTGTCTGTTATCCAAATCTTTAATATTACCACAAAAATCATGTTGGAGCCAATCACAATCATATTTGATTCATTCAAAGTCATTTTTCCTTAGATGACACTCACAATAATGCATCTAATGGAATCCTCAGTATGCCTGTTCCGAAATACCTAAATGTGTTCCCAAAGGAATGTCATCCAATCTCATAGCTAATTCAAACACTTTGCCAGATAATATATGCATAAGGTTAGTTACGGACAAAGATCCCTTGCATAAAATAATTGCCTGTTCATCCTTGGGTGTTAGTCTAGGCTTTCCCCAATGTATATATATTTATCACACAAGTGCAATGATTTATTTTTTCTGAAACAATCATTTATGCATTATGTAAAAAAAATAGTATTCTTCACAAAACTTTTGGTTTAATCAATATGACTCTTCCGAGTGGAAATGCATTAATGGAGCATTCCAGTGGCCATTAGGCAGCACCTGGATTGTCAAAGAAAACCCCTCTGAGGCCGTAGACAGCGCTCCGGTCGCACAGGGTTTTTTCTGAAGACAGAGCTCCTGTCTTGGATCCTTGAATCCTAATCCTTCTCCCCCAGCCATGTCCCTGGCACAGAGGGAAAGGCAGTTGGGCTCTGAGGCCCCTGTAATGGAAGTCAAAACAGAATAGTCCTCTTCAGTCCCTTCTGCTCAGCTAGCAAGCGCCTAGCAGGTTTTAGGATGAGGCTTCTCAGACCAGGGTGCCCAGTCATTAGAAGGCCTTGTCCTGATGTTGGTTGCATAAGAGTAGACCACGTACCAGCTCAGACTTATTTTTTTCATCAATCTCTTCTATCATTCATTTTTATTTTCTGCAAATATAGTGCCTAAATATCAAATGTGACTTTTGAATTTGAAAAATTAGTTGCTCATAATGTTATCCCTTGTTCTGCTCCCAAAAGGTGTGAGAGAGATTTAGAAACTTAACTTTTGAAAATCTAGGGGAGGTTTACAGCGATTCATAAAATGCAATAAAATACAGTGTATGATACAAATAAGAAGAAAAACATCATAAAATTCCCCTACAGAAGTTGAAAAGCAAATCTGAAGAACATAATTAATGAAGACAGATTATTACAACCTGACCTGCTAAGTAGCTGCCATATCCGCTGCCCCATGTGCTATTTAGACCTATTAAATGTTTTGGCATACAGTGTCATCTTAGCCTGGCACCAAAAAATACTTAAATTGGCACCAGGCAGGCCTTAGTGGCAAGCTGCTTCCATAATTATATTCATCTATAATTTTAAATTCAGTCAGAAATATGTGCTGAATGTTAGATCATCACTGTAATACATACATTCAGGAAACTGATTTTTTCTCCAAAATAATCTAATAGTATGCATTTTAGTTTATAGGTATGGTGAATGCCTCCACATTTAAATTAATTCAAAAGGTGCCAGAAGGCATTATTGTCGGGTGCTGCACAAGAGAATAAATGGAGAAACAAATGTTCCATTAACCATGGCTCCTGCTAGAGTATTTTTTAGATTGTCATTATCCACCCAATTAGCCAAGTTCCCAAAGCAGAGCAACCTGAAATAAATAGCCCCATTCCACACAATTAAAGTACGTACATGTATGAAAGTAGAAAAGTAAAAGTAACAATTGTCTTACATTTTTTTCCAACTTGACATGTTCAATTATAGCAATGGTTCCAGTTTTACTTGAGAAATATGACAATGTCTCACTTTAAATTAATCTGGGAATTTATGCTAAAGGATGCTAAAAACCAAAAAGTGTATTCGGCCACAGAGTAAGCTGGATGTAGAGTAAAGGAGCAGTGCATGAATTGCAAATATGCACTCTGGGAACAATCTTTAGTAACCTACAGGCAGAGAAAATCCTCATTTCTTGCCCCTTCCCTTGGCTTAAGTAGAAGGCAGTGCATTTGAGCATCCCAGGGAAGGAACAGTCTGTGCTCACCTCCCAAGTCCCTATCTTTCCTCTTTGGCCAGTGCAATTATTGCATGAAAATGTGCCCAGAGCTCTAATCTTCTGCAGTGCTCTTGAGCATAGCCTGTACTTAAACAATGGGAAAGAAACAGAAGCCCTAAGTGTATAACAGCAGCCACACAGAGAATAAACTTCCCCTTTCTCTTTTGCATAAGCACTGAACACGGAAGGCGTGGCCAAAACCCTGGCTGTCATGTTAAATGCCATTGATTTCAGCTGGAGTTGCATACTAACCTGGAAGTCGGTGGCTCTGAGTTATGCTTGAAATCAATGGGATTGTGCCCAGGTTTTGTGTTATGCAGGCCATCATACTGCAGCACAAGTTTTACTAACATGCAGCTGAAAAGCAATAGTCTAATAATTTAACAGCTGCATTATGTCTTATACATGCAGAGTCAAGTTTCTCAATTTATAAATCAACTTAGTTCAGCTTGTAAATAGGCTTAGGACTGATTTGTTAAGCAGCGTGACACATATGAAATGCCATCAAAACTAGCTTTGTCATAATGCAAGGGGCCCTCTGTGTCAGTTTTTATACTGACCGAAATGCAACCGAAGCCATTTTTCCCAGGCTCAGTGCAGCAGCATTAAGAACATGTGGGGTAAAAACATTCTGCTCTTTTCGTTGCTGCATTTCCCCACATGTTCTTTGCCTAACTGCAAACTGCTTCACTGAGCTTTGATCCCACTGAAGCCCGGACAATGAATTTGCATGTGTTATTTGATGCATGGGAAAGGGGAACTGAAAATCCAGGAGAAAAATACTATTGCTTGCACATGGAGAGACATGAATACATTGTCACAGCCGACAGAAATGGATAACTGGTAAAAATAGTTCTTGTGCTACAGACTGTTGGTATTGCCTTGCATGCATGTTTGTGGTTGCCACATTCACTTTACACTGCCATGCAGCCTTCTTCGCTACATTCACCATCTCCGAGCATCAGCAGATGTTGGCCTTTGGTCTCTTAATAGGGAAATGCACATCACCTTGGACTAATTAGGGGTGACCTGAAAGGATGCTTTCTTGA